TTTTTTTTTTTTTTTTTTTTTTGGCTGTTTTATTATATGCAAATCGTGTAATTCAATTCTGTCTTTTAAGGAGGATGTCTTGTCATACTATTCGAGTCTACGAAAATTATTACCAAACATGTCCAATCGTTATTAATCTAATTTAAATCAAATGAAAATTATCATGTTAAAAGTTCAAATCATTAATATCAGGCGTCATTCGTGAAAGATTAATAACACGTAAAAAAAAAAAAATTAAATTATACATCAATTACAATAAGAATTTTCGTTGCAGAAGGGAGAGATCTCAATCTTCATATCCGTAGCAGATTGAGTTAAAAATTGAAAATTTTCTTTACACATGTATAGTCTCGTAGTTTATAGCATTTCTGAGAAGAAAGATACTTTCGCATTTTCATTCGTTACATGGTGTAAAAATATTTGAAAATAAAGGTTTCATGCTTTAAAACGGATTGTTCTACGATTTTCTCTTTTTCTTCACGAAGTTATAACATCGACAATTTTTGCATATTTTGAATAACACACTCGTGTAACCTTGTCCACGACATATATATGAATTTTTCTGTCATATCACGTTTGATTAGCTACAAAAAAAAAAAAGTGCTACATAAAATGCTATACAAAATATGAAGATATCATATCATAATATTATACAACGTAAAATATTGACTTGAAGATGTCATATCATTGATTAGATTACGGATCTTATACATTTATGAGAAATTTATGACATCTTCAGAATTCATTAGAATTCATGTGAATTGTACAAATATATGGAATATATTATAAATAAAATGTTATAATAAAAGTCTTGTTGTTAAGTTACATTTAGTAGCAGAAATATATATTCTGGTTCAACTACATTTTTTAAATTGTGTTGATAAAAATTTGAAATCGCATAAATATTCGCCTATTCGTCTGTTATTGATATAGTCACTCTTGCAATATTAGATATGCAATAATCTTGAAATTCGTTTAATTTTTTATTGAAATCAATAGCTCTGTCTTACTGGAACAATTCAACAAACTCGATAAATTGGAATAAAAATAAATACAACATGGAACATAACGTGGCATAAAATACATAAGATAAGACACACATATTATACAACATAACATAAGATAATATATTAAATAAATTGGAATAAAAAATCAGAAGGTCTACTATTGCAATTATCATGGATGCATTAAGTTTCCAGTAGCGATGGAAAATTCACGTTCCACTTATTCTGTTAATTTCGGCGGCTCGAGTGTTATTATCACGTCGTACTGCACTGAATTTTAAAACATCCGGAAAACAAGGAAGATTATCTTGCCGTCTTTCAATTTGAATTTTTCATTTGCAAGTTAATTCCTCTTTTACATTTGGATTTTGTGATAAAACGTAAAGAGAAAGAGATACATATAAATTTTTCACAGAAAAATTCTTATAATCATAATTAGGATGAAGTTTTACTCGCTTTGCTGTGCGTATAATAATTCTATTTATTTCTGCTAAGATGGTGTTTTCAGTTTATCTATGTTCTGCAAATCCTTCGAGTGCTTAAAATTATCAAAAGTCCAAAAATTTAATACTGAATAAGGAGAATGTAATAAACTAAGAAACATCATCTCTAAACATATACCTTTGAGATATTTACTTAATATATATGTTAATATGTATGTTTAATATACATGATATGTTCTCCTCTAACAAATAAAATAATTATTTTATTATTAATTATAACATTATCTCTGCGGATTAAATGATCAAAGATTAATTACTATATATTAATATTATATATGTATATATATCATATTAATGCATTATCAATGTACATT